GCCCCGGCGAGCCTCATCAAAAAGTCATTTTTCAAGTCTTGTTTATACGCGCTGAAATCTAATATTTGCTCGGAATCCCCGGATATCCCTCGTTCGGCGCCCGCGGAATCGTTCCGGTCGTGTGATGAAGACGTGGTGCAGTCCTCCCGGAGACAATGTACTTTAGAGATCCCGCACTAAATCGAGTAATGCGATCGGGTGAGGTGCCGGTTAAATTCGAAGGTCAACGCTATTTTTTTGTATCGTGATGATTGGTAGGCAACTTGTTGAGGATACAACATTTGCATACAGCATTTTGACGGTGTTAGTCGGCAATCACATAACTCTGTTTGCGAGTCACAGACTTCCTGTCATACTTCCAAATCAACAGCCGAGAAAATGGTGATGACTGTTGCTCCCTTGTAGTTGTCCAAAAAGAAGTGTTGAATCCTCGAAAGTAAAAATTTCTACTTATTGCCAAGTGGCGTGTGGAGGGTCTCTCCTTGTCTCAGGAGTTCACGCAAACTAGGTTAGGTTCACGGAAAAAACGAGCTTAGGGTTGGGACCTACATGTTAGTGCTGGACACTAACGAGGGTTAGGTCAAATGGAGCCACCAAGTCAGAGTAGTGCTGGGCACTAAACAACTCGAGGCTGGGTCACTAAGGAAGAAGTAGTGTCAAGCCCTAAAGTGACTTTGGAGCGAGCGTAAAATATGAAACGCCTCCCGCCTGGGATCGTACACGGATTGCGCCGGTGGAAGACCAGCGCGTTACCACTAGGCTATGGTGACTCCGGCGTCTCATGGGTGAATTTGCACCTGTTAAGCGCAACTACGTCTCGCGGCATCTGATTAGCACTACTCATGTTCAATGCCCACCTGTACTGCCTTCCGGTGTTGAGCTGTACAGCGCTTAGACGCCAGCCCTCAACTACTCCCCACTAAACGGCCAGTAGTGCTCAACACTAGTCTTGTTTTTTCCGTGTTTGCTGAATCAATACACCACTAGGAAATATGAAAACTGAAACAAGTTTGTGTCACATTATGCTAAAGCGTTTTATTACATTATACGCATTATTGCATAAAGCATCAAACTAACGTAGCATTTTCCGGCCTCCCATTTTTTCGTTTTTCAAAATTTATTGTTATTTTATTGATAAGTAATGGCTAACTGAAACGTCTCATTTTTCCTTTGAACTAATTTGTCTCCGTGAAATTTTAATATTAAATCATGACAGGTATCGTCATGCAGACAATGGGATGGGGTCTGAATGGATAACAGGCCAGGATTAATGCTCACAAATTTCCTTCAAACGAGCGAGTAGGCAATGTATAATCTGCGAAATGTTCGTATAGATGCTCGAGCAAATTCTTGATCGTGCATCAGACTTTTCTCTCTTTTTCTCTATCGTTCTTTTCATTTCTTTTGTAGTGCCCTATCTCGTCCCGCTTTTTACTGAATTTTACACCCCTTTGGATACACTTCCATTTTGTTTTTTGACCAAGTTGAATCACCTGTACATTCAACCATTTGAAACACAACACGCGGTAAGATTTATTTTTCTTCCGTCAATCACGAGAGCCAAAACAAAAAAATAAATAAAATAAAAGAAATAAATTAACTGACGTCATTGAAAGGTGCCTGGTGACGTTATGAACGGGTTCTAAAATGATGTTAAGCACTGAAAAACGACCGAAAACAGGAAAAAATGCGTAAAATGCACTGAAACAGCCGGCAGTGGCAGAAAAAGTGTGGTAACAGCCGAATTAAGCGACTTGATGACGTCATCAAGGGGCACTTTATCACATATCTAATGGGTTTTACTATTTGGCTTTATCAGATGGAGATAGGCGAAAATCGCCGGAACATGCCGAATGAAATTCGGATTTAACAGGTGGTTGCCGCTTTCAGGGGGAAGGGGATGAAAAAATTAGGTACAAAAGGGAGTTCATATTTCCTGAAAATAGTTTTAGGTCCTTATCTTCTTAATTTTCCTACGCGTTTATATTATTACTCAATAGATTGGTAATGGCTAAACGAAGCGTCCACTGGAAAAAAAGACATTGGATCTAGAGTCCAGACTATTAAAAACATCGACAAGAAAAAATACTCTTGATTCGATCAGATTTAAGCTTAAATCAAGAACCAAGCCTCTTAATTTGAGCAAATTTTCTTTTCATTTAAGCTTAAATCTGATTGAATCAAGAGTATTCTCCCTTGTCAATGTTTTCAAGAGTCTAGACTCTAAATCCAATGTGCTTTTTTTTTCCAGTGTCTCATTTCTCTATTTGACATCTTTAGCCTTCCCGTACTTTTCAACCCCGCTGAAATTTCAAAATGAACTTATGAGAAGCTCCGATCCATCTATCATCGGGGATGGGGGCGTTGCGGACCTTCCCGCCGCCCGCTAACGACTTGCAGCGTCCCGTTTCGGCGGCCCAGAAACGAGACGGAATCAATTTCCCGAATTTTATTAGCCGTCACCGCTCACCGTTGGTCGTTAGCGACGGGCGAGAATTAGATTTCTATCGAACGTATTTATGCTAAAAGGAACTATGTGCATGAGGTTCGTGTGCAACATAGTTCTTTTTAGCATGAATACGTCCTATTGATATCGTCACGCAGACAATGGGGATCTCGATGCGGCATGCCGTACGACCCATTCGTCACGCTTTTCTAATGGACAATGACACTGACGAGTGTCGCTGCAATGAAATTACCTCGTGATTGAGACGCGATGGAGAGTCGCTGATTTGATTCTCCATTTCTCATTGTGCCCCGGGCAGCCGCAAAGGTTGCTATATTGTGCATTTTTGCTGATTATGAAACCATTTTTTATCAGTTTGGTGAGTGGTTCATCATTAGTTACAACGCCTTGGTGTGTTTCATAATCATTTTTAAAGAATGGCATCGCGTTCAATCACAATGGAGATGTTGCACGTGTGAGGAATTTGCGATTTGACTACTAATTCTTGTGTAAAAGTTCGCGAGACACACGATGGTGCCACTGGTGTTCTCTGAAATCAACTCCCAAGCTCAAAAAAAACTCTCAAGTTGAGGTCAAAATGGAGGGGATATCCCACGCTATCCTGAGAGTCCACCTCTACATCAAAACAAACTCTCCAAGCAAAGATAGGGAGCAAATTAGCAGGGTTGCCGTGTTTTCAGTTTTGGAGTCCCCAAATAAAGTGGCAGCCCTGTCAATGTATTTGCTCCCTATCTTTGCATGGAGAGTTTGTCTTGATGTAGAGGTGGACTCTCAGGATAGCGTGGGATATATCTCCATTTTGGCCTCAACTTGATAGCTTTTTTTGAGCTTGGGAGTTGATTTCAGAAAAAACCAGTGGCACCATTGTGTTTTTCGCGAACTTTTACATAAGAATCAACAGTCAAATCGCAAATTCCTCACACATGCAACATCTCCATTAAATAATGCATTTTAGATAGTAATCAAGGAAGATGGAAGTAAGGATACCTACACTAAAGCATGTTTCCTATAACTATATTTGAGGGGTTTGGAGGACAAGACGCATATCGACGGTGAAACTACCAGACCACGTATCTCGTTTGCGGTGTTTAAAAATCTCCACTCACATTTTATTTTTTTGAAGGAGATCCAATCAATATCATTTCTTACAATTTTCACAGATTTTTCTCCGCACAAAGAGGAAAAATCACGGAAGTT